TGTCCAAATCTGCGCACAGCAGCTTCTAACTGGACACAGTAAGAGGGAGCACACTGGCTGCTTGCATTTAGAGTCGTTTTAAGATTTTTAATTTGTTTTAAATTCTTTTAACGGCTCAGCCCCGCCCGTAACTCTCACAGCCTCGGCTCCATCCTTACCTCCTGCCCGTGCTCAGGTACAGCTGATCAGCTGCTCCTGGAGGACCAGGAGGTCAAACGGAAGTGTCTCAGAGGGATAAGCTTTCCGCTGCCGGTCCCAACTTGGGAATGGCCCTCTCCCCATTTGACCATTAGACAAGCCCTTCACTGCCAGTTTTAAACTTGTCGCAGAAAGTGGCCTAAAAAAAAAAAGCAGCATGAAGCAGCGCCTTAAAAACACCATTTTTATCCTTGGCTTTATACCCATCATGAGACTCTGTTCTGTTTGTTTTAATGCTTCATTGGTTTTTTGTTGTTTTTCTAATTGGTTTTATTGTTATTGTTTGTTTGTTTTTGTTTTTTATGGCGTGTACAGACTTTGTTTTCATCCGGCTGTTTGAAAGGGCTTATAAATAATAAGGTTGAAGTTTGGAGTTGAGTTTGATATGTAGTTAGATTGTAATGGAAAAGTCACTTATGACAGAAAGCCGGTTAAGTATCGCACAGGCCAATCTCATTACATCTTTAACAGAGAAGTAGCATTCCCTTAAGAAATTGCTAGTGGGAGCTTTATGCTGAAAGGTGACGCTACGCTATGCCTGAAATGGTAATTGTTGTTGAAGAGAAGTGAAGAATGAGATTTGAAATTATTACATGAACATGGGGGGCTGAATGTGTGAATGAGGCAGAAAAATAGTAAAAAGGCTTGGAAAAGCAGCAGAATATCTTGAACTGCAAACTTTGAACATAATTAGAAGCGTGATATCTGTCGCATTCCAACGCTTTGATGCATCCCATCGATACGCTTAGATGGGTTGATGCTGCATCGTTACGCAAACCTTTGAAGTATGGGCCATTTGAGCATTTTCCTGAGTTATTGGAGAAAACAGTGTCATGGCAAGGCAAGGCAGATTTAATTTATATCGGACCTTTCAACACAAGGAAATTCCAAGGTGCTTTACAAAAAATGAAAGACATAAGAAAATGCATTTAAATCAGTCATTGAAAGAAAAGATAATAAATCACATTAAGAAAAAATTACTGATAAGTTACGTGCGTAGATAGAGAAATAGTTACAATTAAAAGCAAGCGGCAAAAAGAAGAGTCTTTAGTCTGCATTTAAAAGTAGTCCAGAGTGCAGGCGGACCTGCGTTCTCTGGGAGTTTGTTCCCAGATTGGAGCTAATATACGAACGCTGCTTTACCATGTTTTCAGTTCTGGACTCTGGGGACAGAAAGCGACCACCCTGAAGCCTTGAGAGTTATGGATGGTCATAATTTAGCAGTAGTCGAAGTATTTGTGGGCAAACATTCAAACTTTATAAACCAGCCAGCATATTTTTGAAATCTTATTCTTGAACACATCCAGGAAGCCATTGTAAAGACTTCAAATAGGGATGATGTGATCACTTTCTTAGTGTTATGAGGACTTCGAGCACAGCGTCTGATTAGCTGCAGCTTCCTAATTGTTTTTGTGAGACCTGGAAGACCCATTGCAGTGTCGGTCTACTGAGAAAAAGCTGGAGAAACGTTTTTCCAAATTCCTGCCTGCGACATTACTATTTTAATCCTAGCTATATTTTCCCGCTGATTTCCACTGTTCTTAATTGTGGACTGCTGAAACTCAGCGGTCAAGACGCCTCCGACTACACCGTAGATCCTGATCTGGCTTTACTGTTGTTTGAACATGGCAGAACTAAATCTAAAGCGCTAACTTTTGTACGTCTGCCCTTTGGCTCCAAACCTATTACCGCACGTTCCTCTCTTGTTTAATTCCGCTTCTGCCTCAGTCCCATGGATTTGTCAAATGCCACGTTAGTCATGGTTTGAATTGAGCAAGTCTCCTGGTGAATTGTTACGTACATTTGTGGTGCATCACCGCATAAGCTATTGGTAACCTTATATTGTTGTTTCATTATCGAGCCAGCTGGGGTGAAGGATTTGAAAGATGTTTAAGAGAAGAGGCCCCAAGAGATGGAGACTTGAGGCACCCAACATGTTCATATTTGCAACTCAGATGGTGTACTTTACCTAAGACAACAAAGTCTTTTTCTGTCCTTTTTAAGTGGACCTATCAATGCTATATTTGATAAGTATAGTGTAGGCCATAACCTATAAAGGCATATTTACTACTTATTTATTTTTCAAAATACCAAAACAGATCTATGCATTTTAAGCATTCTCATTATGCTCAATTTAGCACTGTCCTTTTCATTGGCTGATTCTGTGAGAACAGCACCATCTACAGGCCTGGCCATGTGTACTACGAGCGTTTTCCAGCGCTTTCGAACGGCAATGTCCGTGGTCTGTCTCCTTCTGATTGGTGGAGTTGACCCAATAGCCGTAGCGCCACTTCTGTGACGTCATAGAAGTGTTCAAATCTGGATCAGTCTGTATCAGATCCGTTGCAGCCCCTTTTTAAGAGATTTGGGTATGGAGGAAAATAGAGAGGGTTGTCTTTTCTGACACTTGGTGAGTTCCCTGGAACACCGGGGACAGATAGGTCACCTTTAAGTAGGATTCAAACCAATTTAGAACTGTTTCCGAAAGTCCCACCCCGTTTTCTAGTCGGTCTAGTAATATGTTGTGGTCAACAGTGTCAAACGCAGCACTGAGATCTAATAATACTAACACTGAAGTTCTGCCACTGTCTGTGTTTACGTGGATGTCATTGAAGACCTTTACAAGAGCAGTCTCAGTGCTGTGGTTTGGACGAAAGCCTGACTGGAACACATCGAAACAGTTATTTAAATGCAAGAAGTTACTCAACTGTTGAAAAACTACTTTTTCAATGATTTTACCTAGAAATGGCAGGTTTGATATAGGCCTGTAATTGTTCATTACTGAAGCATCTAGATTATTCTTTTTTAAGAGCGGTTTAATAACTGCATGCAGGGCCTGTGGAAAAATACCTGAGTGAAGAGATTTGTTTACTATATGAAGTAGATCTGAGGCCATGGAAGGAAAAACATCTTTGAAAAATCCTGTTGGAATAATATCAAGGCAGCAGGAGGAGGATTTCAGAAGTTGAATAATGTCCTCTAGGTTTTCATCATTAATCTGATTGGAATTGTGTCATGATGTGTAACATTTTAAAGTTGGAATGAGGTTTCTGAGTGAAAGTATGAAGTAGCAGTTGAAGTTGCATGAAGACTGTTGAAGTCTGAAGAGTTTCTCCATTGACTTCCATGTTAAAAATGTGATGAATTATGGGATGTATCTATAGAATTATGAAATGTTATGAATGATAAAAGTAATAGCCATCGATTCCCGACCGAGCTGAACGCTTTGATGTTTGAATGTAGTTTCTGCGATGTTCAATGTGGGAGAAGAAGAGGCGCAAAATAACCCGGCGGAATAATAAAGAATTTTGTGCGTAGCATAACAGATAGTTGATGCTGTGTCAACATTCCCACTAAATAAACTAGGATTACTGTGTATGCCTTATTTAACATAAACAAAGCTATAGATAATGTTGTTGTTAATTATTTATAACATAGTCCTTCATTATCCCTGTGCAGTGTGAGCTGCTGCTTAATTGTATTTAAAAGGCTTTCCAATAGTCACTTATTGTAATTCTCTAACACAAACATCAGGATGTGGAGGCCAACATTATTAACATATATATATTTGTACTCTCTAAATATTGTATTTAGATGCTTCTGATACTGTATAAAGGTTTTAGCTGTCAAAGAAAGGTATCAACATGCAGTCCAAGACATTTCCTAATAAATATATACATTCGTTCAACAAATATAGGTAAACATGCTCAAACATATGCACACATCATTTCATACATAATTACTACTGGGGCGTTGAAGCCACACAATTCCCCTCTTTTACATAAATACTTTATATAAGCAAATTCACTCAGACCATCATTTTTTTGTTTTTAAACGTGTTACGCTCCAATTGATTGCCTCATTTGTGCAATCTAAACAGAGTAAACAGCCTAAAGCGTCGACTCAAAGGAATCCACCATGGTTGCTCTCTGTTTGATCATCACATTCAGACGGATATCCTCCCAATTAGCTGTGCCCAGGCAGAGAGAAAATGCATTATAAGAAGCAGAGGGAATGTATTAAAATTAACTGTTTTAGTTTTGTAATTTTAGTACAGAATGGTATGCTGCTTCAATATTATGTCACATTTTATTGATCGCGATACAACAAATCAGAAAAGAGTGAACAGAAAGCAATGTGAAACCACTCAAATTGTGTCTCAGGTATACTGTAGGCTTATCATCACTTTTGCTATGTCAAAAATGCCAATATTTCTATATGTAAAAAATATTTTAAATGTTTTGAATGTCATGTGTTGCTCCAACAGTCTCCGGTTGTCCTTCTACCACTATAGTGGGGGAAGACAAAATAGTTTTAGTGGCACAGAAGAGTCTTCCCTGATCAATAACCCAGGATTGGCAGGTGTGTGGGTGAGGTGTGGTTGTCTCAGGTCATGAAACACCCACACACAGCGTCTACATGCACAGACACACAGACTGAAGTCCTCTTTTTTTTCTCGACAGGATGATGAAGTGGTGCTCCAGTGCGTGGCCTGCATCCAGAAGGAGAATCGCAAGTTCTGCCTGGCTGCCGAGGGGCTGGGCAACAGGCTGTGTTACCTGGAGCCCACATCTGAGGCCAAGGTATGCACAAATCTTTAATCCTCTTTATCTGAAAAAACATTCAGCAGAACTCAGAAATGCATGTTATTTTGTGTGTGGTCTCTCTCATCTACTTCATTCGATGGGGTTTGTTTTCTCTGCTGTTTTTATAATGAACTATACTGTATGTTCACACACATTGCATATACAGACTGTCATCAAACAAACATCACATAACACATTTTGTAGAAACTAGACAACCATTTTATTCATCCTTGTTTATGTCCGGAAACGATTCAGTGAAGCTTAGCGGAGATGCACAAAAAAACGACAGCTCAGCACGCCATCAAAGGTCCCATCCACCGCAGTCTATTTGATGAGCTTTTCTTTTTAAAAGGTTCAGGAAAGATGTGGCACCTCGGTTGGTCCGCTGTCAGATGATAATTCCCAGAAAGTATGCACCTGGACATGTTTGATGGATTGTTTCATAAACATTGCTGCTGTTGGCTCTAATTGCCCACGGCTTTATTGCAGCAGAGCGGTAGCTGCTGACGCATTTCATAGTTTGTGTGACTAAGTGAAAAGTTTTGATTACGGCCGTTAAGAAACATTTCATTATTTGCCTTTGTAATCAAGAAACTGCACACTTTATTGCATTTTTGTGTAAAAATAGTTTATTCAATTTGTTCAATCTAGAAGCAGGAATATCTGAATGATGATTGGCTGTTGGAGTGGATGTGTTCCCAAGAGACTCTCACCTTGTTGCTCTGCCGCTTATCTGGCATTATTGTTTTTCCATAGCAAAGCCTGTCAACAGCAGGCCTAATGGGCTCTGTCCGCATTGATTGTCTTTTAATCATAATCCATTTGTATTGTCTGAGATTCATTAGGCTCAAGCTATGACACCAGTGTATACATGTGTGAGGTACAGCGAGGTGTTCAGGGGAAAGACACTAAAAATAAGTAGGGATTAAAGATTATTGTTGTCCTGACATCCAGCATGTTCTCTTCTTTCCAACACCACTTCCTGTCCTCCAACAGCACTCATAAAGAGTATGTGTGGGTATGTTGGGGGGGAATTGTGCCCAGAGGGAGGTAAGGCTTTCACCCCATATTGGATGGTAATTACACTTGACAGGTGTGATGGATGTTCTCCCTATCTGGCACTTTGTCTTCATTGCCTGCTTTTTTTTTTTAATAAAAAGGCATCACCCCACCTTTGGGATCAGCGATGGAGAAGTGAAAAAGACCCAAACATGGCAATTAGGAAGCGGGCCTGGACAACTGAATAGGATGCCTCCCTTTTCTTTGTGAACTAGTCTAGTAACGGGGCAAAGAACCAGGACCGCAGGAGGAAGTTGATTTAGAGTTTGCACAGTTTAAATTGCAACATCAATCAGCCTGAAAGAAGCTGCTTGATTTTGATGTACGACCAGCAGGTCTTGCCTGTCAGCGACTCAATATTATGACCACTGGAGGGTTGATTCCCACATACCATAATGGCAGTGTGTTTTTGTTGTGTGTTTTCAAAATGTGAATCAAAACAGATCCAATCACGTACGTCAACTGACCAATAGTAATTTGAAAAATATCAGTTTTGACTCGTATCTTTGCCGCTGCAACTAACAGTTTCAGCAGCTCCTGCAAATAAGCTGTAAAGGAATGGCGAAGTTTGAGGTCACCACCTCAGGCCAATCAGCTTTGGCCCTTTTTCACCCTCTCTCTGAAGAAAGACATAAAGACGACATCCATCCCTGCCCACCATGTAGCTACGCTCTTTCTCTCATCACACTAGTGGTCATAAAGCAAACGTCTGGGCATGGCCGGCATGTTGTAAAGCTGTCTCCCTGCTCCGACTAAGAGGCCATCTTGACAGGGCTGGACACTCATCATCCTCTACAGCTCTTTCGGACCCTCATCTAACTCCATACAAATTGTTACAGACTTGTGTCTGGGGAGAGCAAAGGTCAGCTGTCAGTCACCCAGAAAAATGAGGGTTGGGGATGGATTGCTTTCTAGGGTCCTCATTATGATTTATATATAGTAAAACGTCTAGAGGAGGGACTAGTCTGTGTAGAGGCATCACCAAATGTCCAAACAGCATGCTGAAAATATGTTAGCCTATATTGCATATTGATTGTTGGGGGAGGGTGTGCTAAATGTATTTAGTGGAGACCCAAAAAAAGCTAAAAGGACTGAATATTGGATTTGCATGACTCCAAAGTTTACTCCAAATGTTTTCAGTATCTGACTTTTTGCTAAGCTATGCTAACCATCTTCTAGCTTTTACTTAAACCTGCAAAATATTTTTTTAGCACTAAACAACTGTGGAATTTAGCTTTTCCCTTTGAATGAATCCACAACAGATGCTAAATCAGACAATTAGGTTGAAAACAAATGAATAGTCTTAGTTCATGTCTCAATAGCGATTGTGGAGTGTGCATAATTTGTAGTATGCCAATGAGACTGGAATTACTATTGTTGAAATCCAACACACTGGCATGTGTTGCTATAAATCAAGTCATTTCTGTTTGTTTTCCCTGAAGCGTTTACAGTCTCGCCTGGGGCATCTACTCTACAACTTGACTTAGATTTTAATGATCAGATATGGCTGATTGGCTCAGTGCATACTGCTGGCCATCTAGATTTGTATTGATTGTAAATCTATTGTGGCTTGACCCTGAATCTAGGTTGTGTGAAGTTTGCAAATGAGGTTGGTTGTACCTGAACCAGTTTTTGAAGAGTTTAAGTACTCCGTAAGGAGGACAGTGGGGTTGTTTAGGTTTATACAATTTATCTTGTAGCCGTTCTGCATACTATCTTCATCCCTGCTTCCCTCATTCTGTCAGTGAATCCCCCTCTCCTCTCCTGTCCTGGTTTGGGACACAATTTTAACATCCTATGACCAAGACCTAGCTTATCTTTGAGCAGACTGACCTTAGAGCACATCTATTTTTAAAGTAACCTTTAATGCATATCGCCCGCTTGATTAAGACAAACTCGGTTCAAGTGCGGTAGAAATGCAACAGTCAGCACACATTTTACGAGTGGACATCTAATCAGAATACCCCTGCGGATTCAGGGGGCACTTTTTAAATGTTTCTGGCTATACTGTAAGTGCATGTTTTGTTTATGAAGCAAAAAGTTCTTTACATACTCAATCTGTATCTGATCCTCTAATGCTGCCTCAGTAATGGAGCATGTTGGCCTGATAAATTAGGGTGTTTTCAGAGGCAGCTGCTTTCAAAAGAGTAGTCTTAACTTTTCATTTTACACTTTAGGCCCACTTCAACACATACTGTGCTTACAATGCCCTGTGTTCTATGCAGAGCAAGATCACATACTTGGTCTAGTCAGTAATTAGATGGATAAAATGTTCTTCTTAGGGATTAGTAGATACCAAACACATAAAGATATCTAGCTTCCATTGGTGAGGTGCAGAAACATGAATCCAAATGAATGCTAATGTTCTCTATCTCCTGGATATTTAAATGATAACTGTTTGCTAATATTTTTACCCTATCAATGCATGTTAATTTAAAGCTGTAGTGGGCAATGTTGCATATTAGAAGTCCCAGAGGTTAGCGTGATATAACAGTGTCTATGATTTCAGCATCCAGAAATGGATAAACTGCACACTCCTTGAAACAAAATGCCTTTTTAGAATCTCAATGGATGGTGGATGAAGATGGTGCAATAAAAAGTCCATTATGATTTAAACTACTTAGGCAAATAAGCCCTTCTGGTTGCTGTTTAGAGAAAATATGTGTGTTTTCGCTAGCGGACTTCGTGAATAAACTCTATTACTGTACGTCTTCTAAGTTACTACTGGTGGCTCGTTAAGAATTAGACTGAGATCACAGTTGCATTTTTATAGGTTGTAAAAGCTTCATTCTGCTTGACACTATTGCTATAAACTAACTTTTTAATAAGAGCCCAAGTGAGTTTACAAAGTAAGTTAAATGAGCTTGAAAATGTCTTAATATGTAACCTCTTGTCTGTTGTTGCAGTATGTTCCTCCAGACCTGTGCATCTGCACCTTTGTGCTGGAACAGTCTCTGTCTGTACGGGCGCTACAGGAGATGCTGGCTAAGAGCGGACAGAACAGTGAAGGGGTGAGTGATGGAGAACACACACATGCTGACACACAAACACACACACACCCTCATGTGCTGTATGTCCCACTCTGTTTATACGTTCATAAGACGAGGTTGTAAAACAGTTTATTGTAATGACTGCAGTAAGCTAAGTTGAACACTCTTAACTTGTTCAGTCACTTTAAAGAGATGAATGGGCAAAATAGGCCCATTACAGTGGCCTTGGGACCCTGGCTGCCCAGAGGTTCAGGCCCCAATGAATATTAATGAGGATGAATTGGATGTACTGGAATTACTAGAGCTTTTGCCTCATGTGCTGCATGCACTTTTAACCCATTTAATTAAACTTAAGGCTTGAAGAAAACCAGCTTTTTAAAAATTTTTCCTTTGTAAATTATTAAAGCAAAATGAACAGCTGATAGAAGATTTGCAGTTTTTCATTTAGTTGTGGCTGATTCTGTTATCATCACTCATTATTCATCACTGAATCCCTGCATCTGACGTTGTTATAGTCATCTTCTTGCAGGTGTGTTGGCTTCTCTTCCTCATTGCTGTTACAAATGTGTGTCTCTCCCATCTTTATCTTCTAAATTCTGTGTATAATCTCCATCTCCCTCATGATAGACACGCGGCCCGGACCGATGGGTATGTTCACTACTCATACCATTAGCCTCTCATCCCTAATGCATGATGCTGTAGTTTAGTCTTTTTTCAACTGTCTTCCATAACACATCATCGAAGAACATCAGTCTTTCATCAGGAATCATTAGAAATCAGGGTTTATGCTAACACTAGAGCCCTGCATGGAAGTAACTGATGATGGTATGGATTTGTTGTGTATCCTGGGTGAGAAGAGTTGACAGAGACAAATAGAGGTTCGTATAGACTTCCCAGTAATGTTCCCCACAGCCATCACACAGCTCTTCCCACTGCTGGAGAACTGCAGCGGCTGGATGCTGGATTAGCGTCCGGTTAACGTTAGTCTTACCCTCAGGGGAATTTAGATGGATGCTCATTGCAGTATCATTTGTTTTATTCAAACCCAGCCTCACAGGATAAGCTCTCATTTGTCACAGTATCATTTTTTACCCACTCATTTTTGCTGTATGATATGAGATGCCATGAGTGGATGGAAACAGCTGAGACAGAGATTTCTGCCACTTGAGAGGAAATGATCATGAAGGATTTAATCAAAAAAGCTCTCTACTGACTCAAGTCAGCTTTGGCCATTTCGCCCTTTAATGCTACATGGCTAATGATGGTGAGAATCTCCGTAAATCCTCAGTTGTTGAGGCTCATATTCATTGACTCAACTCCTGAGATAAATGTTAAGGGCTGCGACCAAAGTGGGCTACAGAATGACAGAAATACAAGACCATTGGTTCCACTGCCTCTGTGCAGGTTTTAAGGCTAGCTAGAACGGAATTAGGGGGAAAAGGGTGCTCAAAGTATTAAATGCTCAAAAGGACATGAGTTAGGACATGAGTTAAATGAGAGACAGCCTCATCCCTCATGCATCAGAATCCTTTTAGGACCTTCACATAGCACTTTAAGTCCAACTGAAATTCAACTGCTTGTCTGTTTTAAATCCTCTGTTCTAAGACATCAAAATCCAAATTGAAAAATGTCCATTCATCAGTTATGTCACCTCTCTATCATTGGCAGATACTCACACTGACTAGCAACCAGACAGCAGTCTGATATTCAAGAGCCCCAGACTTTGATCAGCAACCCACAAAAGCTTTTTTATGAGGTGTCCTTCTTATCTTTCTGAACACATGACCTGCACTTTAGCTTGTTGAGTAAGGCCAGCAAGAAAAAGAAAATTTACTGGCGCAAATTACATTGCTAATGTCAGTTTGCAGGCTAGATACCTAATAAGCTGCTCAGCTGCAGCACATTAAACACCTCAAAATGTCGCTTTGGTCCACTTAGATGCTGGTGTGGTTCTTACCCTTCAATACCACTGCTAACAACGTCTGACCAGAACTTTAAGAGCTATACAACTATAACTTTAAGAAATACAATTATTTTTGACTGCAAAAACGCACAACTACATGTGATTTCAGTTGGACTCAAATGCTGTTGTGTTTCCTACTTTCTAGGGTAGTTGAAAGATTTACTCATCTCTGAAATCTTTTTCTAAACCTTTCACACCATTTGTACCTTTTGTAGGACCCTTTGGACTTTAAGGTGGTTTAAAATGACCATTTATATTGTGTTACTTCACTGTTTTCTCTCTACTCACATTTATCTGTTTTCGATATTGTCTTCCTATTCATCACTTTTGCCTGCGCTGAAATGTCACTGGAGGAAGCGCCATTAAAGGGGAAATGGAGGTTGAATACGTCTCGGCTGAGGCTCTGAAATCAATATGTCTTTGAACAGATGGGCTTATCAATGGACAGTGGCTGGAGCAAATCGGTAGTTCAGGCTGTTTATGCCGGAACGCGCTGACTGAGACACAGAGGCGACTGAAGAGGACCTGCCAAGACAACACACTTACAATCGGTGCAAATGCCAACCCCCTTTTAGCTCAGTATCCACCAGTGATCACTTTGTGTGAAGCTTGTCGTTGCTCGTCCAAAAAGCACTGACCTGTTTGATTTGCGTGTCGCTGGTCAAAAGGGCAAATGATGAGATCGGTCAGTCAAGGAGACATAGCTGCCCTGGCGACACCAGGCGTGCTGATGTTTCTCTTCCCCTGCCCTCACTGCCCTCTCTTTGTCTTCTAGCTTTGTGTTAGCTTGTAGCTGCACTTGGCCCTTTCTTCATTGAGTAAAAACACAAGACTGCAGCCACACACATAATGTGCTGCAGGGCTCACACACCAGGAGGCTGCCTCCTGCTAAATGCCATGCCTTTAAATTGTCATGAAGATGTCACTTGTGGTCAAAAGCTGCACAGGAGATACAATACTTGTTTTGTTTTTTCTTGCACCTCTTAGATCCAACCATCTTTTCCCTTTCTGGTTCAGCGAGCTGAGTGTAATACGGTTTTACTCATTTCAGTTCCAAGGTGCATCACATTTTTTCTGGAATGTGTCCCCACATGCAGAAGGTTCTCTTTCTTACTGAAATTAGCCGCTATTTTCCTCAGTGTGCTTCCTATCTGTGTAACGCAGTCCTCAGCCGTGGGATAAGGAAGTGAGAGGAGGGCTTGGGTTTATTGGTTGTGGAGATTGCAGCTGGATGTGCCTCGCCGCATTAAGCTCAGTACCTCAGCCAGCATACAGCAGTATCCAGAAGCACAGAAGAAAGCCTGAAAGCCAGTGCTGCAGTCTGCACGACACAACTGCATCAAATCACAGCATGGCCATTGTGCCAGTAGCCAATCGAGGGGGCTAGAGGGGAAAAAACAAGAGGGAATGAAAAAGAGAGGAGAGAGAGGCTGCACTATACACTGCTATTATTCATGTATCTCTCAGTTCATTATAATAATTCCTTTAGAAAAAAATCTACTTACCTTTGGTAGATTTTAAGTCTTGACTACATATCATTATTGTCCTGCAGTGGTTGTACTTTTGATTTAATTTAGATTTGACTCAAACTTGACTGTTTGACAATGTTTCTCAAATTATTTCTGGATCTTGTGACAATGGCATTACTCTGTGAACTGCCAAGGAATGGGAGTCAACCTGCTTTCCTTGATCCCTCTAAAAAAATATAAAAGGACTTTTTGACATAGTATGCGTCTGGGGACTTCAATAATCTGTACCAAAGACTGAGGACATGGCACATTATTGCTGAATAATGAAACTCTTTCTTACCTTTATGCTTTCTAGAGGCTCATAAGGAAGGTGAGTAACACGGGAGACGCTTTGCCAAAGAAAAACGTCAAATACCCTTTTTTACCCCCTTTGCATCTCTAACTGTAGAGACACCATTTTCCCCTTCTGCATCCCAACCCAACCCCACAAGCATCGGAGCCATTCCCTGCTAATGCTTTTCACCTTGCATCGGACACTGACAGTAGTTGTGCATCCTTCCCACATTCCTGTCGTCAGAGTGGTGGAAAGATGACCCTGTATCCTGTTCCCTCATGGATACAGGACCCAGAAACACCATCGCCCGTGACAAGTCAGATTTGCATGTCTTCATTGACGAGATGGGTTGGCATAACCCTCCCCAGGAGATATGTGCTCCCCTCAAGCTTGAGGTCATCATCGCTGGCGAGAAGGTCCTCACTGAGGTCAACATTCAGTGCCAGAGGTCGGGTGTAGATGGAAGCAGTTGGAGGGAGACCACTGGGGCTGTTCTGTCAGGGGCTGGAGCTGACATGTAACTACGTATTTGTGTGTATTTTGTGCGTTTGAATCATATCTTTAGGCAGCGCAAAGCGGAGGACACAAGACTCTTCTGTACGGACACGCCATCCTCCTTCGGCATTCCTTCAGCTCTATGGTAAGAGTTTGCACACAACTGATGTCAGAATACTGACAGACAAAGCTGACTTCTCCTGCTATCAGAGCAGGAACTACATGTACCAGGATGCATTGTGCCCAGGATCTTTGTCCCAATATCCTCTACACTCATATTTCCCATTTTCACAGTTGAAAAGATAGTTAGTGTAAACTGAAACTATTTTTTTTTTTTTTACCTACAATTTATATACCATCAACTCTGATTACATGTCCACATGAAAGGTGGAGAATTTCCCCTTTAAGTATATGGCAGGCACATAAACATGTGAGCAAGGTCTTCTGCAGAGGTGTATGTGTGTGTGACAGCTCTGTCCTGTGTGCTTTGTTGAACACAGTACCTGGCCTGTTTGAAGACATCAAGGTCTCAGACAGATAAGCTGTCCTTTGACGTCGGTCTGCAGGAGGATTCAACAGGTAAAAGAAAAGCCCTGTACATTTTGCTTTTATCTATCCCACTGGCTCCTTTCTGTCCCTGTCTCTGTTCTCTGTCTCACTGTTTGCTTCTTTCGCTTTATCTATGTCTCTCGGCTGTCTGCAACCCCCCCCCCCTCCGCACCTTATTTGTTTATAAGCGTCTTTTCTCAGTAAATATTCCCTGTGGAGTACTGTAAACATACAAATGCATTACTTTTGTCAGTGCTGATTACATTTCTGCTGCACATTTGCATCATTATTTATTCCATACAGTGCATAGGATCAGCAGTCACCTCAATACGACTTAAAAAGATTGTTGCCATGGTGCATCTACATTTGTTCAAGCTCTCATTTCTGCCTACCCTCGGCTCATCGCATTATTAGTAATTGCAGATGACATTGGGGCAATGGCAATGTGGTGCTCTCAAAGATGTTCACTATATCAGGTTGTTTATATTACAATATGGAGACTGTGTGTGTGTGTGTGTGTGTGTGTGTGTGTGTGTGTGTGTGTGTGTGTGTGTGTGTGTGTGTGTGTGTGTGTCATTGTAGGTGAAGCCTGTTGGTGGACCATCCACCCTGCCTCCAAACAGAGATCAGAAGGGGAGAAAGTGCGGATTGGGGATGACCTTATTCTCGTCAGTGTGTCCTCGGAGCGTTACCTTGTAAGTGAATCGTTTGCTGTTTGATCCTAGAGCTAGTGTTTGTGTGTGTGTGTGTGTGTGTGTGTGTGTGTGTGTGTGTGTGTGTGTGTGTGTGTGTGTGTGTGTGTGTGTGTGTGTGTGTGTGTGTGTGTGTGTGTGTGTGCATAATATAGATGTCTTAGTAGGAAGGCATCAAGTCTTCTTCCCCTGATGTGACAACATTTCAGATTATCCTAATCCTGTTACTACTTGCTGCACTGTCGTCGTGACCTCTCTCCTGCGGGAGGCTTTTAACGTTAAAAGCAACAACTTTTACATCCTGGATGATTGCACGGCTGCTCACAATGACATTTTATTGGAACTTGAAATGTCTTGTTGGTTGGATTTACCATTTCTTCAGAATGCTGTCAGTGCCATTTCAAAGGACTCACTCTTTTTTGTCTTTTGTTTTCATCCTCGTCACATCCCCTCACTATCAATACAGATTATGTTCCTCTTGCACTGCTGAACTGACCTTTTCAGCAGTAACCTTCTTCTTTCTGTTACTAATGTAGTGCCCGGTTAAAACGTGCCTTTGGAACAGGCACATTGTTTGCGTTTTCTTATGTACTGCTCAGCCAAAAATCGACACTGCGCTCCCTTAAAGTCCTGAACAATAATCCTGCTAGGACATAACCGCGTCCCATAGCATAGAGTTTACGCATCTTTTGCTAACTCTTGGGCGCTAGGATGTTTGAAGGAACAATACAGCTCATTCCAGCGTTGCATTGCTCATGTTTGAAATGTTTGAGTTAGCTAAAATGTCATGTCTCCGGACTCTCTTTCCTCATCTGTTCTTGTACCGTAGCCAGCGATGAAGAGAGAGATGTACCCAGCATGCTGGTTCTCTCAACTACATTTCACCCTACTAAAATATATGTGCTGTAGATTTCAAAAGCTTGCACCCTTCATTGCACTTCCTTGATCCTCAGTAGTACACCTGACAAGTCTGAAGTCAATTGGATGAAGGATTGCCGAGAGAATTGAAGGGAAGACTTACCAACAGTCAGAGTGATTCCATTTTATCAAGATGCCTCCCTGCCCTCTATGCTTCGATCAAAGCCCTGTGCGACCCTTGGAAAAATGTCCCCTGAGACCCATGAAGTTGGTGACAGCTGCCAGGCTGTGTTTACCCCCCCCCCCCATGGCGACAAGGGCGCGGCCAGATGACCACTATAGTCTTACTGTCACCAATATCTATCTGTCACCCACACAGTCGGGACAGAACCTCAAGGCTGCGAGGGGCTCCGGAGAGAGAGGATCATCAGGACACAGCTGCCATCAAAGTAGATTTTGGACACACAAAAACTGGGAAAATACACCCTTGTATAGTCACACACACACACACACACACACACACACACACACACACACACATACAGGGCGACTGTGGCTGTGAGGGAGTGACTCCCTCACAGCCACAGTCGCCCTGTATGTGTGTGTGTGTGTGTGTGTGTGTGTGTGTGTGTGTGTGTGTGACTATACAAGGGTGTATTTTCCCAGTTNAGCTCCTCATATCTGTTCAGAAACTAGACAAAAGTTAAACAAGTACAAACCACAGACTGCCTGTGTCATGGTGAATACAGTCGCTGGTTTATTTATGTCTGTATAGGCCGTTGTTGTGAGTGTGGACGGTCGGAGCATATACAACGTTAGCTTAGCCGATCTCCATTCAGAAAACACGCATTTTAAAAGGTTTTTCGCCTGCCGTCTGTCTGCAGACTTGTCAAAGCATTAATACATGGTTTTTACTAACCGGTATCAGTATGTTGTTACTTAGTTTAGCATATTCAGCCCGGTTGCTGGCCCGGAAAGAACCTGGATTTTGGAGAGCCAGAAAAACTAGTAAACAGTACCCGTTAGCCGGAACTACCCCTAGTGGAAATGCAACAAAAAACGGGCCGGGTTTGGCACGGCACGCTTAACCGCGCTGCAGTGGAAATGCGCCATAAGACATTAAAGATGAACTATTTACATTTTTGATATAATGAACTGCAGGTATAATAAAATACATCAATACAAATAATTTGGGGTAATGATGCCAAATAGCCGTCTTGAAACCATCTTTGAATAAATAATTGGACATTTTGGGAAATACACTTATTCACTGTCTTGTCAACAGTACCAGAAGATGGTTAGCAGACAGGGGGAAAACAGCTAGCCTGGCTCTCTCTCTCTCACGAAAAACCTCATATCCAGAAAACGCCTCTAAGGCTCACTAATTAACACATTGATCTTGTTTGTTAAATCCGTACTAAAAAGTCTGCCGCCTGGTTGTATTTTTGAACTTTAAACCGAGCCAGGCTAGCTCTCTTCCCCTGCATCTAATCTTTATGGTAAGCTAAGATAAGCTAAGAGAGTGATATTGATCTTCTCATATAACTTCCAGCCAGAAAACAAACAAGCATTTTTCCCAAAAAGTCTAACTGCATCATCAAATCAAGCCTTGGGTTTACATTTTCATTACACATTATATCTGAGGATCAATTCAAAATGTGTCTATAAGGGGAAAAGCTAAATGCAGACAATAAGAATAAAGGATTTCCTCTTGGTTTATTGCTTCACAGATTATGCCAAAAAACCTTGTTCTGCCCTTTGGTGAAACAACACTTAATAATGTATGACTCCCACTAAAACACAGACACAATGACTCCGCTATCTACAAACAAACTTGAATGAGGAGTCTAAACAAATGTAATGAAAAGCATCAACCATGGAAAATTAGAGTTTTCTTTCCACTTACCCTCTTTTCGTGTGAACAGCAAATTATAAAAGAGAAAGCAAGATGACGTACAGGCTTTTGATGATTCCATTCTTATACTAGTACAAACGATTGCATTTAAAGCTGCTCTTTAACTCAAATGTGTTAAGAACATGTATAATTGTGAAGTTTATTTCTCCAAAAACATGGCAAAATGTATGGGTTCTGCTTTTTATCTTCCGATCCAGAGTGATGAGTTTGCTGTGAGTGTTTTATAAGAAAAAATATATAATTGCTTATTTCTTACCTTGCCATACGACCAGCCCAGCTCTATTTTATTCATCCCCCAGAGTTCATGGATGTTTTCAGCGAGTTTATCTCTGACTTTATCTAAATGAACTGGCATAACAATCTGAGGGGGAAAAAAATATGAATTTAAACCACAAAATTATAAACGATTATGACGTTTGTTCTCCCGTCTCATGTTAGTTTACCTGGCTAGTTTCAACAGGTGTTGGGATGAAGGAGGCCTGAGACATGGACTGCGTTGTGCCGAGCAGATCTCGGACTCCTTCAGCATCCCTCTTGTACTCTTTCACCGGCTCCACCTTCATCTTCTCTTTGGGCAGCAGAGCTTCGTAACATGGAGCGTAAGTCGACGGAGGCAGGAACTTAAAGTCACCATGTCGACCACCCAACAGGAAACGCACCCTAACGAGATAAAATGTTCTTAGGTCTATTACTCTGTACACAGAAAATGGTAGGAGAAAGAGTAGTTCATTAATGGGAAAAAGGTGAGTGTAAATATAAGTTACAAATCTAATCATAATTGAGGATCACACAGGTGTAAATGGAAGAATCAGACAGTGAAAAGTAATTCTACCGTGCAGCTTCATGTAACAGTTTTTCTCCTCTAAATCCACTTCAATCAGTTCCAGCCTCTGCTTTAACAAGGGACAAGTTTAGCTCTTAGACAGAGAAAAACGTCACAGGCCATCACTGTGAAGAGGCTCTCCTGAGGCCGCCAAAAATAGCTCCTGGAGTAGTAGTGGTGACGGAACCAAGCCTATTCTGACTGCAGCCCTCAATTATTGAAGAGTGAAGATGTGTGGTTGTTACTTTTTGGCACTTTTAAATCTGTGGAGATGCTCGCCCCATTCAGCGTTTCAGTTTCAAGAACAAGCTGGGAGACGTCATAAGGTGCTGAATGTAACTCTAATTGAAATGTCTCAAAAACTGCTGGGTGTATTGCCATGAAAGTTGACATTCATGTCCCCTTAGGATTACTTGTAATAAACTTGATTTTCTAATACTTCTTGTAACAAAATCATCAAACCAAAAGTCATGACATCTTTAAAAAAAACAATGGCCTGTTGCTTTAACCGTTTGAGCAATACAAATATGGTTTACACTCGTAGTCACATGCAATTAGTTTCCCATCCCACTGACAATCAGGTATGATATTACATTTTGAGGATTCATTTTCATCTGCCAATTACATTTTCAAATAGCCTACATGAACAAATCAAATCAGACCAGTCTCTTGTTGTCTCTTGGTGTCAAATGCTCCTCAAAGAGTGAAAGCTGTTAATGCAAAATGCTGTTTTTGCTTTACAAAGACAGAGCCAATCATCGTGGAGAAACTACTGGAGCTTGAAATTTCTTTTTAAAGTGTTGTCAATCACACCATCTGTGGTCACCATGGCAACAGAGCAGAATATGAGACCGGCCTTACCTGGGTCCAATTTCAAGCCCCTGACGATTGATGAATTTGGACCAGAAAAGGTGTGTGGATTAGATGGATTTCACGCAGGGTAGAGTTGGTGTGAGTGTAGTGCAATATATATTTATATGAATTTATTTTTAGCTTGTCTGTCTTATCTGACTGTGCTTCTCATTCTGTGTGTAGCTCATTCCTCAGAGACATTTCAGGGAGTCGATTTGCCTCAGACAACACACAGGAGTAACAAACAAACACTCACTTGACCCCTGCAGAGAAGCTGACCACGGGGAAGAAGAGCCCGTCCGTGTTGAAATTCTCAAACATGCCCTGCACAGGCTGTCCGTTGATCCTGAAAGAGATGCTGGGAGCTCCTAGATCCAAACAGCAGCTGACCACATCCTCTGATGTCAGGATGTGCTGGTTCAAGGACGCAACCGCCCGCGGGATACGACCTGTTCAGGAGACACACACACCGTTTTTGTGTGAACCCAGAGAGTGATGCTGGCACCTCTTTCTATCACAAACAGGGCTGAACATGCAAGATTGCCCAAACTGTTAAACACCCTCTGGGCAAGGAGATCATCGCTGTGGGGAACTGTCTACCTGGCTGTAGCCCAGGGTTACCATTAATCTTTATTACATTAGCTTTTTTATTTAATGAGCTGAGCTCTATCTCACACAGGCTCCACACTGTACTGGACTCTATGGGTTATACTCTTCTCAAATCAAAAGTGTATGTTCTGTTACTATAATTTTCATAAACGTAGCCTACTAGTGCCAATCAGGACAATCCTACCCATTTGGCAGCAGCTCAGTCTGAAGGGACTTGACGTGGGAACCTTGGGGAGTGTGTGTATTTTGGCCTATGTGTGTATTGTAAAGAACTGAATTGATAAAGTTCATAGTCTTGCATACATGCAGACCACACAGTATTTAAGACAGGTACATTCTTCCAAGCTCCACCCACAGCACCCGTAAAGTCCTGTAGAAGGTGGAGCCTGTGCTGATAGAACTATGGTTTCTTCGTTTCACACAAACACAGAATGTTCTCTCTCCCACTGACCTGACCAAAGATGGAGTCCATCAAAACCATACGAGTAAAGGTCATCTCCTACTCCATTGCCTCCCCAGCCCTCTCCTCCTCCAGGGTAGGGAGCGTAGCCTTTAGCGTTGGCCCAGCCCACCCTCAGGTGCGAGGGCTCGCTGGTCACGAAGTGGTCCACCTGGTCGATCATCAGCTCGTAATACCACTTCTTATACTGAGCCGAGCCCTCACTCACCCCTAGGAAGATGTTCGGTCTCATACTGGCAATGAAATGAAACATGATATCACTAGTTATCCCTCAGAGGCAGACAGATATCAGATATTCTCATATTCATTTGTAATATCTTTTTTTTCTTCTTCTGAAAACTAATGAAAAAGTCTTCTCTCAGGACAAGATAATTTAATTTGCTTCTAATGTATTTGGTTCAGGAAGTTCTGAGTCGATAGCTTTAAGCAAGTCAGAGCAAAGCAGACTACTTCACTAGTGTCAAGAAAAGGATCCAACGAGATTTGTAAGAGTAAATCCAAGTTTAAAACGATCTAACCCTCACCACAGTGCTTCTTTTCATCGTACAAAGACAAAATATGTAAGGAATATATGGCATTATAGGAGACCTAAAGACAGAGTACATTCTCATCGTGCTTCATTGAGCAAACTAAACCTCATGTTTGAGCCTGCATGATCCTCAATCAAAGTATGCAGACCATGTTGTTAAGGGTACATGATCTATCCTTGACATGTAGTTTAGATGTATTCCTTTAACACTCAATTACACAGTCCAGTGGAATGCTTGTAATGTGCACACACCAACAACAAGGAGGTTGGGGATTCTGGCTTGTGGATGCATTTATATTATACAGCGGTGGTTTGTAAGATTGAACTTAAACGTCCCGTTAATTATAACGTATACTGCATATACACTGTATTTTCACGCAGTAACTACCTGGTATAACTGTAGAGTTGCTAACTGAACTAGGTGGAAAATAATTAAAGTTAGCTTGATAATAAACTACCCGTTATGACAAGTCTGACACTTGAATGATGTTATCCCATTGCACCCTCAATTACAAAATGTAATGGAAGTTTAAAAATTCAGCTTGAATACCATTATATTAGGAGAGGAAATATGTATAGAACAATATACTTACAATGTCGCTCAGGTCCCTTAAAATTGTATACTTTGAGGTTATATCAGGTGAGCTTGAGTTCCTGTTTACATTGTTATTACGAAGTCTTTATTAATTACAGTTTCCTTTTGTTTTATTGGTGCAATACCATTTATTAAATCACAAAAACCTCAGCATGATAAAAAGAGACTTGGTGAGACTTACCTCTGGACATCATTGACCAGCTGTGTTTGCAGAAGCAGATCTCTCTTGGGCAGCAGGTGATCGCAGATGAGGTTCTGATTGGTTCGCACAGCTACGCCGTTACACACACATAGCGAGCAGAGCACATCCAGAATCTAAAGCGGGAAAGTGGCGGCAACAAGGAGGGAAATAAGCTACAATGGCAAAAGGAAGAGCAACAGTTCCCCAAAAAATATTTCACAATTATCTTATTTTGCTCTGGATATGAATCCACCCCTTCCCAGAAGTTACTTATTATCTCTGTCCCCTTCACTGTCAAGCTCTAGGGACAGACCATGCAACCGCTGTGTAATTACTCAGAGATGCTTATTGGGGGCAAAATCATGTCCAATAAAATCTCTTTGATGTTAGCTTAACAAAGGAGTAGGATTAAATGGGGCGGGAAGCTCAGCCAAGGGCGACAGGCTAGAGCACCTATGCTTTATCATTGGCCCTTTTTTCTCCCGCTTGCAGAGCTAAATGATAGACTCGGGCTAATTTATGACTCGGGCCAGCTGACTCCTTGCTCCTGATCTTGTTTTCCTGTTAAACTGATTCATTTGTAACAGGGACAAACTGCAACTAAACCCCAGGAACCTTCTGTTAAATATGGAAGTTAGACTGCTGCTAGAAGGTGAGCTGAATTAGTTGATGAAGAAAAGAAATGGTGACGAAAAGGCCCTAAGGGAACTGTTATGGAAATGAATGTGCATCGAGTGAAGCGTTTGCTGAGTCTAATGAGGAGAGAACTGGAGATGGCTAGATGCAAGATAAACAGGCACTTGATGGTTGATGTGAGCTTTTGCGCTTGAAGGTTTTTGACAGCAATCAAGTTACTTTTTGGCATAACTTGGAAGAAAAGCTAGACATATTTGAAGATACAATTAATCATTTACTTGCATAGAGTTAAATTAGAAGATCAATATAACCCTGGGTTAAAGTAAACATCTAGCCTAAGCCAGCGATCGGTTAGCTTAGCTTTTTAGCTTTACAGAATGAGGAAACAGCAATCCTGGCGTGTTCAAAATGATGAAACAAAACCCCCCTTTAGCCCCCTACAGTTGTATCAACAGAAATTAGCCATTCAAGAGGGGTTTTGTGCTGGACCATTTCTTGGTCAAGAGCTGTTGCCAGGCAACCAGCTTTGACTGTATGAAGATGTTTCGGCAAAGCTGTAGGGGATGTTACCTTTGGACGGAGCCAGGATGACTATTTCCATCCATTTCAAGTCATTCCAAGCTTAATGGATGGGGCTTCAGTTTCATAATTACATGCATGTTATACATCTTGTAATTAGACCCAGCAAGACAGCAAACAAAACGTACATGTTTTTGCCAAAATAATAAATTATTCCATTAAGAACATGTTTTATTGTTGCATTAACTCAATATAATTTGCTATTGTGGTTTATTTTCACCAGACCTTCATTTTCCACTTTAATTAATTCTTCTTCTTGTACCTCAAATTACGTTACAGAAATATTATACACACAAAAAAAGAGCCCAGATGTGTTGTTATTTTATATCTCTGCAGAAATTGTACCCTAAACGTGCTGTTTACCTTGTGGTTGCGTCCGTGCTTGTAGAGCAGTGATATGATGGACTTGATGTGTCCTCTCTGGATGATGTTGAGCGCCTCTGGGCTCTCAATTAGAATGCAGTGCAGAACTTCCAGGATGCCTGCACGTCCACAAATTCATCAATTAGCACCAGCGGAAAGACACAAATAAAGACACACCAGAGGACACACGTCCAAGAGATATCCACTCTGCATCGATTAACAAGGAGAGCTGCTGGTGCATTCTTTATCATTAATTTAAAAGTAGAGGTACCTACGTATATAATTTCAAGGCAAGCAGTGTCATCCTTCTCATCTTTTAAAACTCATGTCCCTGTCGAGGAGCGCTGCTTTGCCATTAAAGGAACTGGATAGCTCTGTGATGTCTCTCTGACAGAACATGCTGTTTTACTGGAATAATAATGATCATACCTGAAGAAGACTCCAGTCTCTCCAGCTTGCTAACCAGCCAGTCCAAGTTGTTGGAGAACTGTGTGCAGTTGTTCCTGTTCCCTCTTATTAACGCAGCTGCAGGGTACAAGGAAAGATTGCATGGGTTTTAGTTAAAAAAGGGTATTGAAAGCCATTTGATGGATGCCCTTCAGTACAATAGCAAAAACAATGTCAGCCAGAGGTGGACCCCTTAAATGAACGCCAAGGAAGGTTCTGCTTTGACACCCTTATTGATATTCATTCAAGATGCTTAAGATAGAGGGGGGGAATGATACAAGGAGAGAAAAGACATACAAGCGGACAAACACACCCACATTTCATCCTGGGAAAAAATAGACAGGGTCATCCAACGCAGACAGACAGGGAAGAAAGGAGGGAGGCATCCCAAATCCACTTAGCGCTGCGCCAGGGCAGGTGTGTGAAGGAGGGAAGGGGGGAAGAAAGAGACGTGGCTTGAAAACTAAAATAAGCCAGGAGGTGACATCAAAGTAAATAAGAGTGTGAAGGACACGTCTGTATGGCAGTGGGGCTTCAGCATGATAGGATGGAAGATAAACTTTACATAAAGAACATCATAATTCTCTTTCAACAAATGTAACCCATATCTTGACAGGAAGGAAATAATGCCTGCTTGCAAAGGCTTCTTTATGTAACAACTGGTGATGGAATTGTTTCAGCCAAACATTATATTGGTCAGACTCAGCAGGAATTTCAGACAGAGATGGATATTTTTCCCTGCCAGATCATTTTAGTAAGATACGTCTATATCTGACAAGGGCATATGCTGGCAGTGCAAGAGGTTAAATTGATGATTTTGCAAAGGCAGGGCTGATGACGTGCTATGGGAACAGAAAGAGCAAATCAAGAGCAAGTAAATACAACAGAGCAGCGTACCGATAAACAACAACAAAAAAACACCTTTTTGTGTTAATGTGTGAATTTTTTCTCCCCAAAAATGTGAGTATGTGTGGTGACTGATGGAACTAAGTATTTATGGTGTGTCTGCTGCGTATCAGTGTACATTTTAAGCTTAAAGAGGATATATTATGCTCATTTTCAGCTTCATATTTATCTTTTTATGCCTCAACTGTCTCCATGCTTTAATGTTCAAAAAGCTCTTTATTTTTGTCATGTGCTGCAGCACCTCTTTTCACCCTCTGACGAAAACCAGAGCCTAGTCTGCTTTGATTGATTAACTTATCATGTACAATGTCTTGGAGCGCTAGCCAATAGAAGCGCAAGAGAGGAACCTTTAGCTTTTGTAGACCTTTTACATGCGCGAAAATCTATATAACAAACTACAGAAAAGGGAAAACTCCGAAGAGCCTAACAGGGCCTCTTTAAATCTGAAACCTCCGATTGTAATCCTCCGCTGTGAGGTGCCTGCTTTCGGCTGGTTAAATATCAGGTCAGCACACTTCTTTATCGCCCCTGCAGCCACTTTATCTTCAAACAACGACTCTCGTCTCTGTGATTGATTACAGGAGGGGATCGTTTTTAAGTGCGAGCGTTTGTGTAGGTACATGTGTGGCTGTGTGTGCTGGACCGTTTTCTTACCCAGCAGCTCATACAGCAGGTTGAGAATGTCTTTCCATGCTGCTCCGGCCTCTGACCCCGCACACTCTCCGAAGTGGGCGGCACTGTTGTATACATTTAGTCGATCGATGCAGTTGGACACCAGAGTCAGCATGCCCTGAAGGAATGCACAGTGACCCATCACATGAGCATAACCACGCAAATATAACATGAATTTCAAATACATGCATGTAACGCACTGACAACAGCAATTCAGCGTTCAATTAGTCCACCCTTCTGAACGCAGTCCTGGGGCTCTCCCTTGTCCCACTGTGTGGCTGTGTCGTGGTGATTTATACTACCGAGAAATATCTATAGTGATCAGATATGCTAAATGGGCGCCGTAAAAAGACAAAATGGAATTGCGGGTGATTTATAATGCCAGGGAAATACCATGAGTCAGCCGGGAAAAAATGTACCTCCTTAATGTAAAATATTAGGGGTGGGACAGAGATGGGCTGTTTTGGTTTATTATCATAGAAAGACAGAAGAAACAGAGAACATATGACAGATTAATTGCTAAAATATGCATTATTTGCAAACATTGGAACCACATAAAGTGTATATATATATTTTTAAGGTGGGTCATTTATATCTATGCATGTTAGCTCATTGATATTATGACATGTTGCAGCCTATACGTGTTTAGGGGTGAATGGATAGTTGACATTATAGGCCCCCTCAGTAAGGCTGACATGTCATAATTGATGAAAGCAATTTAGTTCCCAGAGGGTTTAGCAGAAAGCTTCAGTGCTCTTGTGCCAGCCTCGGGAAAACGTATGACACCAAAACTGCTGACACCCTCAAATGCAATGCCTTTAGCACCGAGATGGCATTGAAACGCACCACAAAGAATCCATTGCTTTAGCCTTTTCACATACTCAATCTCCTGCAAGTTTGCCACTGCTCTCAGCTCACTCATGTGTGCAGTCACTTAGTACATTTGCCTCCATCACAAGTCAAACTCTTTTCCCCCCCAGAGGGCTTTCATTTGTTATGCTGCTCTGCAGAATCGCTCCCTGTGTTATTAATTGATATTTCATGGCCTGTTGGTTTGCTTTCCTTTACGATGAAACTCACTTCCTGTTTGAATAGGTTCTGCCGGTTCTTGAGCGAGCGTAGCTTGATCTGCCTCTCTTCGTGCTCCAGCTCGACGTCGGGGAGCTGGAAGTAGGTGATGAGGTCATTGAGGGTTTGGAGGACCTCCTCTACAGGTAGTGCGACCAGTATCCTATTCTTAACACCCAGACAATCCAGGTCTCTGGGAAAGAGAAAGAGAGGGAACAGTAACACATCCCGAATGACCCCTCATTCAATTATGACCACTGCATGTATAGTTAACAAAACACTCCCATTCATCACAAATAAAATAACATCCCGGTGATTACGCTCTAATTGGAAGGCTGAGCAGACTCCCGGAGAGGCTGTGATGACTAACACAATGTTTAGCCGACAGGTTCATCCATGCTGAAATGCTGATTTCCGCTGGCCTGCTAAAAATAGCTCCTGTCGTTCGTGTGGGAGGGGGGTGCAGAGATGTATGTGTCACAGGCGCCCTGCGGGGGAGGCTGACAGACTCTCACATGTTCCCGCCATTGAGTGCCCAGCGATCCCGGCCCAGGGGACAGCGAGGACTATTGATAACAGATAAGGGCACTGGAAGCATCCGCTGACGTGCTCCACAGCTTCTTTTCTCACAGCTGGCAGTGCGTAGCCGTGACGCTGCTGCAAAGTTTGCCTTTTGGAAACGTGTGTCTGACTCTGCACCAGTGAGGGAGCTGTCTGGGGCTTTGGCGCCCCACTCAGTCAAAACGCACAGGCTCCAAGCTTAACTCCCCACTGGGTGCGTTCACAATCTGGAAGGACGTTACATCACTTTTGTGTGGACTGTGTGAGAGTCTGCGGGGCTTTGAGATGGCTGGATTTGAGGATTCATCTGTAAACTGATTGTTTTATCATCTCTATTAATTATGCTCTAGCATCATCAGTGGGGCGCTAAAGCAACGTGTAAAAACGAAAGGACATTTTGCAGATTACCCTAATAAAGTGGCTCAGGACAAATTTGGAATGTAATTTGGTTTAATTGGGCAATTTGTGCGATCATGTGCGCATTAGTGAGGAACAGCGGTGCAACGTTTGGCACACCTGATGAATCGCTTGAAGAGTAAAGTGGTGTTGCGGATGATCCGTGCGGCACGAGACTCCTCGTGTTGACAGCGCTGCAAGGTCAGCCCGTCATCCATGTGACCTTCAGAATGTAGGCACGCCTTGAGAGGAGGAGAAAGGGTGTGAGACAGGGAAGAGGGGAGGGAGGATAGGAGGGGGGGGACCAAAAAAGGAAGAGGAAGCCTTTTAATGGAGAGAAAGTGTCCAGCCTGCACTGAGCCACAATGTCTGGATCACAGGTGCTGACACTACAGGCTATCTGGCTCTATTTAAACAGTGGACAACATTATCGCACAGCTCTATCTCTACTGCCACAATAGCCAAGGGAAAAGGCAAACTAGTAGACAATGATCTAACCCATAACCCTCAGAATAATGATACCCTGCAAGGGATGTTATTTATGTATTTATTCTGTTTGTTTTTTGTTATATACTGTGCAATTAAAGAGAGAGCAGTGTGTGCCTGTGTTTGTCTCCACTCACTCGTCTCTTGAGGGGACCCAGACGGGCGGATTTGACATCAGGTGCCTGGTAGGAGAGCCAGAGTCCCGTGGCCACGTGCATGATGAAGCAGAGCGAGTCCCCGTATTTAATCTCCGCCACTCCCATCCCGTCGATGTCCCGCTTGGGACTCTGCTCCAGCTTCTCCTGCACAGGGGAGGAGAAAATGAAAACGTCAAAGCTGTCAGTGTGGATCAAAAACGTTTGCTGGCACAATACAAAACATGTTTGCACATTCTGACACACTGCATGAATGTTAGTCATCACCGACCAACCAAATGTCAACTGCATCTGCTGTTTTGTCTGTAAAAGTGGAGTTTTAGTGGAGTTTTATTATTTTTGCTAGGTTCAGATATAACTGCAACCCATTATCGACATGAGGTCTTCAATGATAAATGACTGCACTTATATTCTGCTTTAAATACAAATTGGAAGGGTCACTAAATGGCTCAAAATCACTGGCCATATCTGGACTCCCATTACACAGAGTCAGGCTAAATGGACGCTTCGTTGAGTTCAGCTAAATTAACCTCAATGGTGTAGATTCTCACCGGTCTCACTTGTAATCTTCATTGTCCTTAGAAAAATGGTCATTTTCCATTCCAAGGGGGAGTGGGCGGTTCATTTGTAAAGGTTTAGAGGTGAGCCTCTGTGATTCCTTTTTCAGTGGTGTTTGATGAGGAATTGTGTTGTTGATCCCATGTGACACAGGTCACCTTGAAGAATAGCAGGGAATCGAGTGAATACATGATGAGTGCCCTTGAATCTGCGTCCTAACCTTAGAGGCTCTGAAACAGTAGGCGGTGGCGATGGTGTCGGACCTCTCCCGGTCCTGCAGCACCAACCCCCGATCGTCCGTCAGGGCCAGGTAGTGACCGGTGGTCAGGTGCCGCAGTCTGAAGGGCTGGCCCCAGCGGATGTGGCTCCCGCTCCAGCTGCCAAGGTCACAACCACACGTTTAAATGCAAAAATACAAGGAGAAAAAAGGGGTGTATTTCCTAAGCCCTGAAAGCCTAATATTTGCTAATGAGATGATCCAAACATTGCTGACAGCTGTTAATTATCTAGCCTGCCGTGAGGTAAAATAATTAGCAAATAACTGAAAACATTTCTGTAATTATGCACTTTGTTTCTGTTCAGGGAGTGCAAACAAACCAGGGTAAATGTGACAGATATCATATTTGACACAGAATTTGAAAAGGAAAAGGCTGCATCCCTGGGAGGCTGTAAAATAGCCCGGATCAAAGACTTGACAGAGAAAAGGGAGAGAAAGAAAGGAAGAGAAAGAAAGAGGGAGACAGAAGAATAAAGAGACAGAGGCCACAGTGCAGCATTAAATCATAGGTGGGGAGATGGAGAAAAGGACAAAGGGATGTAGAAAGAAAAAATGAGAAAGAGGAAATACAAAGGAACAGGTGGGATGGAGGAAATAAAATAGATACAGAGAAAGAGGAAGCAAGGAAATAGATAACAGATCATGCGAGGAACACTACCCACCTGATTCGGAGCGGCTCCAGCCTCCACAAGGATCTGGCCTTGGCTCCGGCTTTACCCGTCTCATAGTTGACTATCCTGGGGATGCCAGACAAGCATGAGTGGGTTGTCTGTCTGTGGATGCAATAAAATGTCTAGCCACCAATTAAACTGTCAAGGTCATTCATACTGGCTTAGCAGCACCTTGTTTTTACCCTCATTCGTCACGCTGATATTCACTGGAAGGATGTGTTATGTACACATACACACTGGCTGTATTTACTCTGCCCACCGCAGCATCACATCCTTCAAACAGAGACGTGTGCGCCCTGATAACTCACAGCTACACTGTCTATCAGAGATACGGGTGACTGGGCCCAAAGATAAAATAAATCGCTCATCACCCCCCCGCTGACAGCTTGGAGTGTGTTTGATCTACCCCAGAAATGTGTAAGACCTCAAAACAGCTTGCTCCCTTTGCTGAATTTCAAGGACAACAGTAGGAGACAAGCCAAAGTGGGAAAATTATGTCAGATCCCGCCTCCGCGTTTACCTCGCTCTGTTCTAAAAATAGAAACCATGTGTGTGTTTGTGCCCATGAAAACACACACTTCTCCTGGCACCTGGCTGAGTGTGAATGAACCTTGACGCTGTTTTGACCCACTTTGAGCCCAACGTGCCATTTTTTCTGCGCCCCACCTTATCTATGTTGGCACCAAACCGCTATACTGTAGATAAAAATAACTCAGCAGCCATTTTGGCTCCCCGGAGAGCCTTAGTGTCACGCTGGTCAGAGGCGTTTTTATCAAGCGAGGTGGCAGCTGAGGGGCTATGGGTAACTCCCGGTCATTTAACTTCTCTTGTGCCACATAACTGCTTTGCCATCACTTAATGGTGACCCCTAATGATGCGGTGTAATTCAGTCGGGTCAACGCTTTCCCACCTCTGCTGCTCTTCACTCTGGTCTGATCCTGGGATGGCCACCACCTCGTCATGTCCATGGAACAACCGCATCACATGACCACCCAGTAGGTAGCCTAATGCATGAGAAAGGAAAGATAACTAGAAAATGCATTTCCTGATGAAAATGCGTGCGAATGCTGTAAACTGTGCATATTTGTGGATGAATTTCGCTGAAAATGCAGAAAAAGCTGAATATTTTAATAGTTGAATGGTCTCTGTAGCTGCTTTTAGCTACAGAAACCAAGTAAGTGTGTTGCTGAACTAATTAGATAAAGAGACACTACGGACATTTTTGTTCCTGATTTTGCCTGCACTTAGATTGCTTGTCATCTCATACATGCAATCTAGAAAGACCTTGCATCTCAAGCACAACAGCAGATTACAAAGCGCAATTTTGCATTTTAGCGTACTTTTCAATAAAGCAATCCAAGCAGATGCGGTTATGGAAAACATTTGTCATTCTAACATAAAATGGAGTTCTTCAACAACAAGGAATATGGTCAAAGCCAAATCTCTACATTATCTATTTTCCGACTATCTCTAACGAGATGCTTCTTAGCACCCCATCTTTAGATATACAATTGACATTAATCTGACAGCCTACACCTGCTTTTTTTGTTACTGTAAGTGTATATTTTCCTTCCATATGTTCAAGGTATATCATCATAAATCACAACAGAATCATAGAGAAAGTAGTGACAACTTATGAAAGCTGGGGTTCAGTGTGAAGTCTCTACCTTCTTCTATGTTGCTGCCGGAGCAGATGGGATGGACGTTCCAGAGGGTTTGCATGAAGGAAGCATCCACCTGGATGTTGCCGTTGGAGATGGATAAGTGCTGCAGGAAAGAAGAATCAATTAGATATTTGCCTACATCAACGCTGTTGAAGGGACATGTGTCAAACTGTCAAAGACAGTCTGTTGGGAAAGATGGAAGGAAGTTTTCATTTTTACTTGCCTGGTTTTACTTCTCTGTTCTACATAATCAATTGTTTTGTACAATAATACCAACAACAAAAAACATCTGTTAAGATAAATCTCTATTGGATAACCCAAAACAGTTGTGGGTTATAAACTAAATGTAAGGGAGATTGACACTGGGTTTGACATTAAATGTAATGTTGATATTGACGCAGGGTTCAGCTAAAGTTTGAAACTCTCTGTAATCATTGATCCAGATAAAAACTCCAGTTTATCATCGAGCGTTAAGGGAAGCATAAAACATGACAGACATATGCCTTGAGTGTTTGGGGATTCATACCATCTGGGATGCTGTCTGTGTGTGTGTGTGTGTGTGTGTGTGTGTGTGTGTGTGTGTGTGTGTGTGTGTGTGTGTGTGTGTGTGTGTGTGTGTGTGTGTGTGTGTGTGTGTGTGTGTGTGTGTGTAAATGCTTAGTATAGTAGTGTAGTGTACGTANTACATGTTACTTGTTAGACGTTTTTATCCAAAGCGACTTACATACTCAATACTGTGGACAATCCCAACAGGAGCAATGTGGGGTGAAGTGTCTCAGGGACACAACGACATGCTGAGTGCAGTGCGGTTTGAACCTGTGACCCCCTGATCCGAACACCAACGCACAACCCACCGCACCACACGCCTCCCGCGTTTAGACAAAACCATAATGCATATAGTGATATATGTACAGTGATTTTGATTGTGTGGTACAGCTTAATCTGTGCTCTGTTGTTGTCATCCATTTACATTCATTAGACTACCACGTCCTACATTACAGCAGAGATAATAAGCAAAGTGCAGCTTGTTATGTAGCGCTTCTTGTTTAAAAATACTTCTTTTTTTTAATGTGTTGTTTGTTCCGTAGATGTAATTCTGTAAAATGAAGAGCTGCCAGAGAACAGATTACCCACAGAGTTCTTGTACTATTCACAAAAGAGCTGGCTGGTGTTCATTGGACCCACACGCACAGCTGCATATCTGTACGCTGCCCTGCATGTTTTCTTGGTAAACATCCGCAATTGCCATGCCACCTCCGCTGAGCAGCATTGCCAAAGGGATTATTTGGCATTCGGTGCAGCCTCAAGAGAGGCTTCGCACCTCTCGCTTGATATGCCAGTGGTACACCTTTTCTCTCTCCCCCAAGAAAACATGCTCCCTTGTTCCTCCTCATAACTCTCTTTCATGTTCACTAGAGTAGACTGTCTTATCACCAGTAGCACTCCTCTCCTTGTTGGTTCACAATGACACTGACTTACAAGGGTGTGCATTTCATATGAATATATTCAGTAAACTTTCCTACATGCTGTACAAATAGAGTGCGTAGACTGTGGACCAAAGTTGTAGGCAACAAAGAGAAGTTGAAATATGATATCTGTGACTGTTCACTTTTCTCACAGATAAGGGATGATAATAAGCGGCAGCATCCGTGCCTTGTGGATTTCTCCAAGCTGCCAGAAACGGAAAAGAACTACAATCTGCAGATGTCGACAGAAACACTGAAGTATGTCGAGTATTATGGATCAGTTTTCTTCACGGTCCTTTTGTTTTTGAGGAGAAAAATAAAAAGGGGCTGTGGGACGGAGTCAAAAAAAGAAAAAGACAGATTTATTACAAAAAAATATTAAATAACAATAAAGATTTTCTTTAGGTAGTTTTTAACATCTTTGTCATTCATAAGAAGCATTTCAAACATGACAAATAAGGGCAATCAATATGATAAACAATAAAATTAGGACCAATATATAAGTCAATTGACAATAATATATTTAGAATCTTTAAAAAAAATTGGTATATGTACTTTCATATTATCCCAGACACATCTGGGGGACACTGATGCCTTCCTGAGTGACACCAAACTCATTTTTACTGTCACTCTGTCCTTTTGCAAGGTGTGAAGAAAATATATCAAAAGCACACGACACCCAGTGCATTCCTCTGGGTATTCCCCGGCCCTTTTCCTGCTGACAGATTAGGACACGCACAATTTAACCTATCACTGCTCCATTTGAACACTCCCAACTCTTCAATCGCTACTTTTGGAACTTCACAAATTGTCAAATCAGAAGTAATAACTATCACAGTGAGGATTAAACACTATCTGCAGCCTCATTGGTTCCATCACTTTCTGTTTCTCCCTACAGGACCCTGCTGGCGTTGGGCTGTCGGGTAGTTCAGGTCAATCCAAATGCTGAGAGCTCCCTCAAAAAGATAAAACTCCCCAAAAAGTAATTGCGCATGCTTATATTTGTTGTACAAAATCCATCAAAACACCATTTCCTTCTTTAAATGTATCTTGTCGCTGTTATTACACATTGTGATTGTATCATGTAATAATAGACAGGAAATACAATATGGCAAATACAACATGGCAGTAAAAGTTTTCATGGTAAACCCAGAAGAAACATATCGGTTTAATAAACTGCATGTAAAGATTGATATCAGGCTATACATGTGGGTAAATAGTCCTGGTGGATTTACCCTTTTATTACTTCCATAACATTTTTTATTGTCTTTTTTCTTCTAGCTTCATGATGTCCAATGGTTATAAGCCGTCTCCTCTGGACCTGTCTGATATAAAACTGACTCCAGGTCAGGAGCTGCTGGTGGACAAACTGGCAGAGAACGCACACAATGTGTGGGCCAAGGACCGCATCAAACAGGGCTGGACTTATGGCATTCAGCAGGTACGGGAAATAAAATAAACTATTATTTTGGTAAGAAAAATTATCTTACCTTAATAAGCACCTGAGATGCTTATTTAATACCCTTATTTATATAACGAAAAAGAGTCATTGTCATATTTTTAACTCTGTGTCTCGCTTTACTGCTGTTTTTTTTTATATGTTCTGTTCCTCCCTCATGGTTCATTTGTTCACCTCCTATACAGTCTCTTCCTTCCACACGTCAGGCGGCTTATTCAGTCGGACATTTCCTGGATATGTGTCATTATTCAATTCATAGCAAGATGTTCTGCAGGAAGGGGTAACAAGTCACAGAACATATTGTACAGAAAACACTCAGTGCAGCCTCTTCTCATCTAGCAAAGTGCAGAACTGAATACGGCGACTGATTATAAGCTCTTTAGTGTATTTTGGTACCACTGCCATGAAATTGGATCAAAACTCTCTCCTGAAATAATGAATTTTCCACTGCCTTTTTCTTTCATGATGTAATGTAGAATGTGTCATCCATGTGAAATTCATCTTGTTTCTGTGGTCAGTTTGTTGGTTTGAGATTTGAAGTAAAAAACGGTATAGTCTTTGTAGTGTGTTTGCTTTTCATTTACTATGAAACGTAGATTTATATTGTGTATTGAACAATGATTTGATGTATATTGCAAAGTGTTATCAATCTTCCCACATTAAAGTGAATGATGACTCATTCATTTTGCCTTACTTTGCTAATAGTGTGGAAAAAGAGTCTTTCTGTATGATTGCTAGACTATAAATGAAAGTGAGAGTCTGGATAGAGAGGAGTCAAGTGAAATCACTTAGTGATACAGAGAAAGCAGCTGATGTATAATTTAGATGACGCATAATGTTAGTCTAAACTGCCCATTTTTCCATTTGTCCCTGCTCTGCCATTTGAACCATTATAAGCAGCTAAGATTCGTTCAAATACATACTTTGGCATCCACTTTTAACCGGATTTTGGTCCAATTTCCTTTAGAAGTTTGTAATTCAAGTGTCAAAGTTGATAAGATGAGACCGGTTAACTGACTAGCACTTTGGAAAAATGCCACAAAGACTTTAATTAGGCCGACATGTGGTATCGGAAAAGTTGTTATGCTTGACCCAACACACAGCTTGTGATTTGCAAAACCAGCAAAAGATTTCAAATGAAGCTCTGCAAAACTACTTAATTAGTATCAATAGGATTCTTCAGTGGTTGCACCATGGCCCACAGAGCAAATGGTGGACAGCAGTTGCGCAATAAATGAACAATTACCATAATCAAAGGGAGTGATTTGGCCGTACAGCTGGCCTACAGTACACTTGATGAGATAACCTGGTATTTTTGAGAATGCTTTGCCTGCAAGTGGGTGCATCACATCTTCTCGTCTCTGCAGGATCTGAAGAGTAAGCGTAACCCTCGCCTGGTTCCCTACGTGCTGCTGGACGAGCGTACCAAGAAGTCGAACAGGGACAGCCTGCGAGAGGCTATCCGCACTCTGATTGGCTACGGTTACAACATCGAGCCCTCGGACCAGGAAGGCGGTTAGTTTGACTCATGGACGTATGCCTATCTAAATGCACAGACATTCAAATTATACAGTTAATTATAGAATGCCTTGTTACAAAGTTTGTCCTTACATTTGTGTGGTCTTCCAGTCCCGATAAGGACATGTGCCTCCCAATTCCTTTTATTTTGACTAATGCTAGACTCTTGCAATAATGATTCCGTTAGTATTCGAGATCTGCTGGTTTTGAAGCAGCAATCTAAATCCTAACACCGTGGCTCTTTCTTCCTCCATCCATAGGACAAGTGGTTGAGCGGCTGAGCATCGACAAGGTGCGCTTCTTCAGAGTGGAGAGGACGTACGCAGTGAGGACCGGGAAGTGGTACTTTGAATTTGAGGCCGTGACTGGAGGAGACATGAGAGTGGGCTGGGCCAGGCCTGGATGTAAGCCAGATGTGGAGATCGGCACGGATGAGCTCGCTTTCGTCTTTGATGGGTACAGGGTAAGCTGTTAGCCCATCCTTAATCAAGCACTTAACACTCAACGACTCCACAGACATAGATATTTTTAAGTCAGAGGGATTCAATCCCGATTTGTTTTTTTTATGGTTATTGGATTTTTATTTGTGCTGCAACTCAAATGTGATGTTGTTTCAATCAACTTGCATATTATTTTCTTTAATTATTATTTGTAAATTATCCATCCCAGTTACTTAAAGTCCAAGGTGATGATTTAGAATGTCTTGTATGTCAATCTTAAACCAAAATATAGTCACTTTATTGAGATATAAAGCGAATTAAAGTGAGAAAATCTCCATAAATGCAATTTTAATTACTTAAATACTACAAGGTTAATTACTTGAATGATTTTTGAAATAGTTAGCAATTACTTTCTGTCCATGTTTTATTTTATTATCATATTGTACAGATTAATGCAAGATATCTTTCTCTCAAAGATAACAGGAAAAATACAAGATATGCTTGAAAATAAAGGACCTTAGATTGACCTTTCTTGCAACACATCTGCTAGGATTTGCTGCTTATGTTACCTTTGTATATTGTCTGTCTATAGGGTCACTGCCTGAACATGGGCAGCCGTCTGTTCGGCCGCTGCTGGCATGCTGGGGACATCGTGGGCTGCATGATCAACATGGAGGACAAGTCCATGATCTTCACCCTGAACGGAGAGATCCTCATCACGAGCAAGGGCTCTGAACTCTGCTTCACTGACTTTGAAACTGAGGATGGTAAGAAGTTTACATGAGGATAAGATGTGCGTGGTAACATAGGCCAGTTAAAGAAGGTCAGGGAGTGTCAGACTGATAAGGAGTTGTTGGCCAATCATCTTTTAATAAAGCTTTCACATGCAGAGCAAGAAGCATTAACCTACAATGACCATGCTGGGGAAATAAGTGAAAAATAAGTGGCTCCCTGTAACAAAATCACCCTTATTTAATGTGACACTTGTAAATTGCCTTTTTGCAAAAGCTGGATTGATTTTCCCTCCCCTCCTGCTGTGGGTGTTCTTAGAGGCTATTTATTCTCTCCCTCCTTTACTTTACCTCCTCTGGCTCTCCTTCAGGGTTTATTCCAGTGTGCAGCCTCAGCCTGGCTCAGGTGGGCCGCATAAATCTGGGGAAAGATGCCAGCACCTTCAAGTACTACACCATGTGCGGCCTTCAGGAGGGATTCGAACCCTTCGCGGTCAACATGAACCGAGAGGTCACCATGTGGTTCAGCAAGCGTCTGCCTACTTTTGTCAATGTGCCGAAGGACCACAACCACATAGCAGTAAGACCAAAAGCATATGTATTGATCAAAATCACAACACTTGTCGTCAAATTAAGACAAAGGTCATTTTTCAGTTTGCGGGATTTCTTATTAATATTATTATTATTTTTAATTATACTTTTTTTTTTTTCATCAGAAATGCACAGAGTTTAATTCATATTTTTGTTTAGTTTTATATTGTAAAGATGTGCAGAGAATATAGAATGAGTTCTCCAAAAAGTTTGTGTTTGTGTCTTTTCATTTGATGTAAATGTATATCTTGATCACTGTAACTGTTTGCAGGTGACCAGGATTGACGGCACCATCGACAGCCCCCCGTGTCTTAAAGTCACCCACAAGACATTCGGCACCCAGAACAGCAACGCTGACATGGTGTTTTGCCGCCTCAGCATGCCTGTAGAGTTCCACTCCATCTTCAAAACCAGTCCTGTTGTTGACATGAACGGGATCCATGAGGATGACACTCTTAAACTCAAACACAGGTACTCAAAACAATCAATAATCTACATCACACAGCAAACCTCCAAACATCATACCTACCATTGTTATTTGCTGATCCACTTTGTAGATTATTGATAATCATGACAACAAGCGGATATCTTAAGAGATAGTAGTGCGGTTAAAGATGTTTGTTTTTATCAAAAATCTTTAAATGGTTTAGAACTGTAATTAAATTAATCATTTGAGGCCATAAATATAATCAGGGAAGCACTAATCGACATTTTTCTGACATTTCATAGACATTTAATCAAATGTTCAAGAAAATAATTGACAATGAAAGTAATCATTAGTTTGAACTGTATTTTGCACATCACTTAGCTAATTTGAAAATGAAGACTAAATATCCGTCAGCTTGTTTGTTAATCCCTTGTCTAATGTGTTTTCTGACAGATATCCTCTGAGGTCTGTGCGGCACAGTGATGAAAGCAGACGAGTGGACTACAGCAGCATCACTATGGTATTCAATAACTTATTTTAACCTAATATAACTTATTTATTTAACAACTACACCATTGGCTAACACTTGCTTTTCAACACAGTACTACCACTCAGTGAGGGTCTTCGCTGGACAGGACCCTGCCGTTGTGTGGGTTGGATGGGTTACACCCGACTACCATTACTATAGCAACAACTTCAACCTCAGTAAAAATCGATCCGTCACTGTAACCCTGGGTGACGAGCGAGGACGAGTTCATGAAAGGTGAGAGTGTTTTTTAAGAAACCAACTTATTCTTTACTTTTAACTGCTACCTTTTTAATTAAAACTGAACTGTGTCTCAAGATAACTTCAATGACAGATATTCTTACTCTCATAGTGTGAAGAGGAGTAACTGCTACATCATTTGGTGTGGAGATGTGACCAACGCTGCCCACGCCTCCAGTCGCAGCAACGTGGACCTGGAGATTGGCTGTCTCATCGACCTTGCCACCGGCCTGGTGACGTTCACCGTCAACGGCAAGGAGATAACCACCTCCTACCAGGTATGTGGAAGAAGTATTCCGATTTTTTGTAGAAAAACTCTGTTTCAAGTGAAAAACATGCATTCAAACGATAGTATTCCGATTTTTTGTAGAAAAACTCTGTTTCAAGTGAAAAACATGCATTCAAACGATAGTTACCTATGTAACTACGGTTCTATGAATCCTGGATGACCGCCAGAGGCGGTGCTTAGCACTGAATATCTTCAGTCTCGCGCATGCGCATGTCGAATATTTATATCAACAAAGTCACGTGTGACCTCGTATGACCCCGGAAGGCATAAGCTCTGGTGTTGTCAACGAGTTCAGTCCTATGGAATCTTCTCGCGGGAACAAGAGATTCCGAGTGACCAAGAACTCTGGCGGTCATCCAGGATTCATAGAACCGTAGTTACGTACGTAACTACCGTTCTATTTCATCCTTACTGACCGCCAGAGGCGGTGCTTAGCACTGGATGACCTATATCAACAGAGTCACAAGGAAGTCTGAGTACCTACCCTATAGGGATAGCCTAGGTGGACTCTGCAGGAGGACCACACCCAGCGGGTGAGGGGCGGCAATATTCACTCTGTAGTATCTGGCGAATATGCTCGGGGATGCCCATGTGGCCGCGGCATATGTGCCGCGGCCACATGGGCATCCCCGAGCATATTCGCCAGATACTACAGAGTGAATATTGCCGCCCCTCACCCGCTGGGTGTGGTCCTCCTGCAGAGTCCANTTGGAATGATTTCAAACCTGGGGTTTTTTTTTCCTTCGAATATTTATAAAGCGTGGCTGCCTTGGCACAATATTTGTTTAATAAATGGGGGTGGGGATTCAAAACGTGTTTGCAGACCCACTGAGAACTGAACTTAGACTAAAGTGACTAATGCTAAACCTCATATCCTTTTACCTCACTGAGGGGGTCCTCCAGGTCTGACAGGGACAGACTCTCCTGCCACAATTATTGTAGAAACAGCTTTACTTATATTCCGTTGCGCCAGCAGGCAAGCAACAACATCCCCCCGGCCCCCAGCGCCTACCCGCGGCTATCCCTCTTCTATCTCTCTCCACTTTTGGCCTGCGGGGGCGCCTGCTAGCAAACATCCTCCACTTTCATCACTTACAGCGGGCCATCGACAGTTACAGGGCAAAATGGAAATGTAACCGGGGGTGAAAGGGCTGTTTATCTTTACTTAATTATGCAATGTTAGTTACATCAAGGCTGGAAAAATGTTTTCGGGTTTTTTTTTTTTATGGTATTGTGGAAGTGCCAGATCCCCTGTCCTCCACCAGGGGGTGCCTTGCAGCCAACCCCCTAAGCAACCCCCTACTTCCCACGGGGCCCTGTTGGTTCAAGGGACTGGACAATTGACATTTGAATAGGCGTCACTCATACAAATATCTTAGCGTTTTCTATTATTTTATCGAACTTATCTTTCAAGTCACACACTGGAAAATGTTGCTTTTTAAAATTAGGTTTCTCCTTTTCAGACAGGAAACATTGATCTCTGTTGTAACGTTTTTACCAGTATTGGATTCTGGCGATCTGCTTTACATGAATGCCTCTAACCAGTGCCTAAAGACTTTGGATACTGTGTACCATTGCATTGTGCATTACGTTTTATTACTGGAAGGATATATATATTGTGAGTTTGGAATAAATATGCACTTTATGAAAATTATTAGTTGGTTACTGTTAGTAAAAACAGTAAGGTTAATAGCCTACTGGATGTTTGTTTTGCTAGTGGATCGCCAGGCCCTCTGACCTGATCTGTGGAGTCTCAGCTGTTCATATGAACAGGGCTCGACATTATAAATGGCCCGCTGGCTCGGAAGCATTATTTAGACACCCCGGCCAGCATAACGTACTTTCAAATCGCCCCACAGCTGTTTGCTGCGGAGCGCAGCGCGAGCAGTCTCCGGTGAGCGGGGGCGCACTCATTCACTACAGTCAGTAGTGGGAACCGCAGTAGACAAAATGCGTTGCTATAGCAACACGTCATGTTTATGTGAAAAGGGGTGGGGTCAATATGACCCGCTGGCGGAAATAGTTAACAACAACAGAGGGTGCTACATAAGACACTTTCAGGTGTGTGTGTGTGTGTGTGTGTGTGTGTGTGTGTGTGTGTGTGTGTGTGTGTGTGTGTGTGTGTGTGTGTGTGTGTGTGTGTGTGTGAGAGAGACTTGGCTTAATGAAGCGTGCAGTGCTGTGTGTGTGAGAGACAAGAGACTTTACAGCATGTGTGTGCCCCCCCGTGGTAAATGATTGCCCCCCCATTCGATTTGTTCTGGAGCCGACCCTGACCTGAGTGCATATGGGCAGGATGTAAACGTTGTTCAACATTAATATCCCCTCCTGCTATTTATTTGTCCATCTCAGTTTATTTACAATTGGCATACCAGCTACCGCCTTAATTCAAATTCTATACGGTCCATTTTTTTGGAAACAAAAATATAGCTTTTCTTTTTTTTACCATTAGGCTATTTATTGTTTATTTCTTTACTTATTGTGTTATTTTACTATTAAAAACGTTAGTTATTTTTGTAATGATGCAAGTCCATTCTCCCCACTTGTACCACCCCGTTGCGGGACATATACAAATATTTCTGATTGAAAGCCTTTAGCCTATTTTAAATCCTCACGAAACTGTGGCGCGCTTACACTGTTGGTGCGCCGGCTTTGCGCTCCCTCCGCAAGCTGAGGCCCACTCCGCGAGGCCCTCTGGCAGTCTGCGTGATCGGCCTGTAGGGAGGGGCGGCCCTGCGTAAGAAACATAATTATTTCCTTGAATCAACAAATCAAAAGGCTATTAAAGCAGTTCATTACAACATTAAACACAATACAGGCAGGGGTGAGTCTACCTGATAGTAAATAAGTAAACCACCGCAACCAAACACTACTACATACTGCGAAAGTATTCATGATGTAATCTGTTTGTCATAATGCAGCCACTGCGGGTATAAAAGAGTATTTCTTACCATGTAAGTCGTTTTACATCAAGGTCGGTGCATAAAGTTTGGCGATGATAATGAAGATGATTTAATGTGCCAAAGACAGCAGAGTTAAAGTTAATTTAAGGACATTGCCGGGGCCTTTTAACCCCAGAAACAGTCTCTCCACAGGCTCCACTCTACACGAAGTATAGGCCTAAATGGAAGCTTGAGTGATTTCATATTTTAAACTCAAGCTTATCCGTGATTAAACTTCACTTGTATCTTCATTTAAGGGTGCTAACTCCTCACTGATCCGTACATTTCTCCCGTAGTTCCATCATATGTTTAATTACACCGGTTTATTGTTGATCTTCTACGGCTGCAAACATTTCGCAGCAGCGAGCAAACAAACATTTTCAACTTTAAAAAACAAACAAAAGTCAAAGTTCAACCCCGCCCACAGATCTGATATTCCAGGCTTTTCATTGGCCAGGATTTACACCAATACAAATACATATCCAGATTGGATCTGGGCCTATCCGGGCCTTCCTTGCGGCGCCTTCAATGGTGAGTCGGTCCTTCTTGCAGTAACAGATGTTACAACTGAATCTGTTGTGGGTAACATTTCCACATTAAACATGTCAAACAATGACTGGACCTATTGGCCTAAAACCTGCGTTAGTGTTGTGTGCCAGAAGGGGGCATATAGTAGGCCTACATTCTTTGTACTGCTTCTGTTTCTGATGTTATGTAAAGCGTCTTTGAGCACCAGGAAAAGTGCATAATACATTTAAAACTTAAATGTATTATTATTATTATTATTATTATTATTATGGTGGAAGGCATTCAAGTCCTGACTGCTCTGGGGACTTTTATAGGATTTCCTTTTTTTGTTTTCTTTCTAACATTTTTTAAATGTTGGCGAACATTTTGTTGTTGTTGTTAGATTCTGCACAAATAAATATACCTGCTGTAAGTTATATGCTTGGTGGTTTGTTCAAATAATTGGTTAATAAAAACTCAATCAAAATGAATAAATTCCACACATTTACTTATTATAATTATGTTTTATAAACTCAATTTATTCAGTACTTTCTAATCAAATTGTTGTGATTCAAATCTATTTAATTATATTTATTGTCACTTTGTTGCCACCATTTTTTAAAGTCACCGTTTTTACAGTGCAGTAGCCATTTTAAAATGTATTACATTAGCCGCGTTCACACCGGAGTACATTTCCCCCGTACTTTTCCCCTTTAGTTCCATTGGTACCCTTTATGTTGCGTTCACACCAAAAAGAGTAGGCTACTTAGTGCCGGGAACTTTTACCCCCATTTTTAGTGCCTGCTGAGAGGTGGTACTATCCTGGGGGGGGGAAAGTACCCCAGTTCTGATTGGCTGTGCGAATTGCAAACCACGCCCCGTAAAACTTTGAAAAGTTTTGTGAAGCCGCCATTGTATTTGTGGCCTTAGCATTATTAGCATTAGACCCGCGCACGTTTCGGGGACATTACGTGACCTTGTTTATTGGTATACTGTCTTTTGTTAAACCACCCTTGAAATCCCCCCTAAAACTCCCCGTCTGTTAGTTTTCAGGAGGACAAATTATTTTATCACAATGTTGAATGGTCTCTCTGTGGCCAGAACAATATCCTCCGTTTATAACGTGTATTTACTTATCATCATCCTGTTGACACTGTCGTTACTAGTACTTATCTCATGTCCTGCAGAACTTAAGACTTTACCTTTTTAATTTTTCCATATAATATACTCGGTTTAGTTTTTGAATTTGGGAGCTAATAGACAAATCCCCCTTAACCTGTGAGTTTATACACGTACTTTATTCAAATTCTTTACTAGAACCTAGCTTTTTAAGATCATTGACTATGTCTGTAATGGTAACCTTTGTCGTCTGTTTGAATCTCTTTTTACTGCTATGAAACCTTTTCGCCGGTACGTTAATACTATTAGGGGGGTTGTTAGGTTTGGGTTTTTCTATGTCTTGTATAATAAATCTATAACGTGATAAAATATCTTGTTGCACACATTATACTATACCCTCAACGCAATTTCGAGTTATAGA